CCACCTTGGCATGGTGCCCCCCCACTCACCTGCTCCACCATCCCACTACAGACCCACTCTCATCAGGGTGTATCGGGGCGGCAGCACCTCCACTGCCGCCTGCTGCCACAGCTGATTAGAGATGTCCGAGCAATGTCCCTGGTATTCTTATAAATTAACTAGAGGCCCGGTGTACAAATTCGTGCATGGGTGGGGTCCTCGGTGTGGCCTGCGGAGATCGGGGCCCCAGCTCACATCCCCAGCCTCGAAGCCCCACCTGGCACTCTGCCTTGGCCTGGCGCACGACCGCAGGAGGGGACAATTTGCATATTAGGCTTTTATTATTATAGATAGTTGGCTTCAAACAGAAAAGTACTTTTTTCCTATGAAGATCATTGCTGCATTTGCTGGAGATCCTATCTCCATCTTCCCTCCTAGCAGATCTCATTGTTCCCAGCTGGACCACGTTCCTCTTCCAGCCAAGGCCTGAATTCATTAATTCCTTCCTTTTTTTTTAAATATTACAAAGCTACTGGTGCAAAATAGACAAATCAGTGAAATAAGAGGCCAGAAACAGACCCTATTCTAAGTAAGAAGGAGGTGATTTTTTTTAAAAAATCACAAACCAATGGAAAAGATTGTGCAGGACCACGCAATCAATAACGTTGGACTAACTGGTTAGTAATTTGGAAAAGAAAATGCATCTCATTTTAGACCCTATATCATACTACAAATCTAATTCCAGATGAAATTTTTTTAAAAGCCATATAGAAACCGGAGATGAAGAGGGGGTACTTTCATAAAAAGAAAGGCTATTCAGGTTCAGAAGCAGCAGAGTAATTCCCCAGACAAAGTTCAACATTTCCAGGTACACCCATCTAGCCTGTACCTAATTAATAGGATTAATGAGATTATTTTAAAGAAATTGGTAAAAATTAAAAGGCAAAACAGCATGGGCAAAAAATAATTACAGCAGACTATAATAAATATCATTATATATAGAACTAATTGAAAAAAGAAAAATCAAGTTAAGTGAACTATGGTACATCAGCTCTCAAATTATACAGCTCTCAAAAACTCTAAAATATGGTGAGAGATGTATAATAAAGCGAAGTAAAAAGAAGCAGGATATGAAATTGTAGTTGCAACTTCTTTAAATTATATAAAAATAGAAACCTACATACTACAGAAAGGAAGCCTTACTAAATGTCATCAGTGGTGTGCTAAGATTTGCAGAAGTCTTTTTGTTTGTTCTTTGTTTTTTCTCTTGTCCAAATTTGTGGTTATACTCTGAAATAAATACATTATTTTTTTAATCACATCTGATTTTGGAATTTAAAATTGCTTGGGGCAAGTCTAGCTGGTTTGACTCAGTGGATAGAGCATTGGCCTGCGGACTGAAGGG